ATAATTCCTGATGTACAGGATAGTAATCACAACCAAAATATTGCCAAATGTAATTTACCGAATTTAGGCAACACCTAATATAATTAAGATCCCAGGCAGCACACTTTGGTATAAATTACGTATTTTTTTAGGTACTACCATACGTATGAATACGGTTGATGTACTACCAAATATATTCGTGAAAATGTCCGCCTTATAAACGTCGATTACTAAGAATTTATCCACCTATAATTAAACGTTTTTACTATACGTCTATATTAGATTTATAGTTGTAGTATATTTATACGAATTTACTTTGGTATAAAATACGTTTTTTTATGTACTACAATATACGTATGGATACTGTTGATATGCTACCCAATATATACGTGAAAATGTCCGCCCTATAAACGTATATTTTTTTATTTTTTATACGTCTAACATTACTACTTTATCTACCTTTAATTATTCTGTTTTACTATACGTCTATATTAGATATATTTGTATGATTTTTATTAATGTGTAAAATGCGTCTACCTGATATTGTTTTAAATGTATTTCAAACACAAATTAAATAAAGTGATCAAAACAAAATTTCTAAAAGAGGCCATGGAAAAATGTTAATATTTCTTAAATGATAGTTTGGATTTTATCTATAGCAGGTGTGTATACACACCAGAAATAGACATTACTCGTGTTTCTATTTTGGTTGTAATTTGCCTAAATATTTAGAAAAATGTTTTGATCACTTGTTATATGTACAGAACAATATTTAATTAAAAAAAAAATAAACAATAAAATACTAAAAAATAAATAAATACAAAAAAATAAACACTAAAATACTAAATAACGAACTAAACGAAACTTTTCTTTAACTAACAAAAAATATATATGAAAATTAAAATCTTAGCTTAACACTTTGGATGTGTTGTGTCCTAGACGGGCCTTAGCTAACTTAAGCTAATCTTGCATGGCACACCTAATCGTTCGGTCGGTTAAGTCGCTTAGTTTACCCCCATTCCTATAACCAAAATATAACTCAATTTCAGGTGAAATATTTTCTAAAAGCTCCGAAGATAAATTTGTATTATTTTCTTGGAAATTATTATAAATAATAGAATCAGATGATATATTAATGTCCGAAGCCTTATTAATGTTATCTTTATTGGGAATAAAAAAAAATTGATTTGACTTTAAAGCATCTTGAACATTTTGCGCTATTTTTCTACGTAGATGACGCAGAGACAGGGTTATTTTAGACATTTTATTGAATAAAAAACAACTGACCAAAAAAAAGGAAAATAAGTATGCTTGGAATAACTAGGTAACCTAAAAAATACGTATAAAAATAAAAGAAACAAAAGTAAGGTTATGTTTTGAAATTTCTATAAGCATTTAACACACTGTACGTACCTATAAAACAGTAGTTGTTGTAAAATGCAACAATTGTTAAAGGAGTAGCTAAATTAAAACATTAATAGAAACTTACCTATGCTTTTAATCAATATCGTAAAAGCCCAGGACGCCAAAGTAACAAAACGTGTACACAAATGAAAATGGACGAACCGATGAACCTACTCCCACAAACCATTCCCTACACTGAACATGATCAATAATACTACATATACGCATGAGTAGAAATGAGAAAAGACCGTACCACTAGTACGTCATCCTCCATCCGCCATCTAAAAATAGTTCCATTTGTATGGGGAATTTGTTATAAATATTACAGTTAATATGATTAAAAAAAATATGGATGTAATGTAAATAAATATATCTATAAGCTTTTAATTTAAATAAACCTAAATATATACATATTATTTACTTCTGTCTACTAGTTCATCGTAAACTGGTATTATGCGTTTAATGTGACTTATATTTAAACGTAGAATAATATAGGTATATTAACTCGTATCGATAAACAAAAGCGTTTAATTTATCTGTTAAAAAACGTTAAGTATAAAAATGGTAGATGGTAAACGTTTAAAAAATCAACCAAAACGAAATTTAAACGGGAATTATAAACGAAGAAAACATATTGTAATATAATGTAAATTTATACGAATTTAATTTAAATAAACCTAAACGTATATTTAGGCCCACTGTATATAAATAGTTCATCACAAACTAAAAATAGTCGTATATTGTTAACTATATTTAAACGTAGAAAAATTTACAGTTATATACCATAGGATGTATATAAAAAACGTATAATATATCGTTTAAAACACGGTATGTATAATAATCGTAAACAGTAAACGTATACGGAATCAACCAATACCAAAATTAAACGAGTATTACGTATAAAATACGTTAGTTATACTAATGTGTGCTGCCTGAGATGTATTGTGAATTGTCGAACATAATCGTACTAGTAAATTTAAATAATTTGTTATTATATTTATGTATCTTTGAAATCATAGGATAATAAAACGCTACAAACGTCTATACTAAGTTTTTGGGTGGAAGGAGTAGGGAGGGAGATGTTCTGGGTTGGACTTAAAATATTTGTATTGTAGTACCTAATTTTAATAAATGTTAAAAGATAAAAAATGATGAAAAATATTTTGACCTCATTTGTTAGCACGATTCATGTATGATTAGGACAATAACATTTTATCAGTATATAGCTAACAGCTAAGTAAAAGTTTATAAAATTATTGTAACAAAATAGCTGTTGACAGTAGCACTTTTGCAGTTGAGACAGAAAGTTGCCTCGCGTCACGTTAGGGAGCTCGGCAATCTGTCGAAACTGCCAAAACACTTTCTGTTAGTAGATTTATATAAACTAATAAACAAATTCCAATTACTCAACTTCCTATATTAAAATAATTATTTACCTAAAAATGATTGCTAAAAAGGTAAGGTTATATCTAGGGTTGAGCGATCATCAAAAAAATCATCGATTAATTAAAATAATCGGTTATTTTCGACTAATCGATTACTTAAAAAAAAATCTATTCTTTTCGATTGATTCTTCTTGATTATCGATTATTTTGGAATAATCGATTATTTTTTATTAAACGATTATTTATTGGTCATATATCAATAGGGTACAGCAAGTTAATTAAGAGTTGTAGTGTTTAAAAACAATATGATATTGATAATAATAACACCTAATACAAACCTAAATCAAAAAACAGCGATATTGGCACAAAGTTTTGAACCGAACATACAAATGCTAAAAGTATTGGAAAAAATTGAAACCCTATATTTTTAGTATTAGTGTACCGAGATAATCGTGGATATACGGTCGCTTCATCTAGAAACAGGCACATAGATTCTTAAAATTGTCTAGAAAAAAACCTATCAAAGACATTTTAATTCTTCTAATTTGCGGTATGAACGATGAATTTCACAGCAAAATGGAGATGCAGCTCGCAGTAATCATAAGTCGTTGCACTTTTAAATCAAATAATCGTTTTGGTTATAAACACTTACCCAACTGACCGTGGGCGACACTAAATATGTAGTGCAATTTTTTTGCGCTAACTAGCGTAATAAATGCTCAACACATACCGGAGTGCATATTTTAATTAGCCATTAATTTTTAATTAACATTAACGCGAAAAAAATGCACTTAATTTTCATAAATAACATCCATATCCATCAAAGGGTATAAAGAAAATGTGTGCATTACGGTTTTTTTCTTTTTTCTAATAAAAATTAGATCAGTGGAATTAATTTGCTGGTACATAAGTTCCGCATAAACCAGCTGCTTTATTTTAGAGCTACAGGGTGTCACTATATTCGACCGAGAACGTTTTACTACATAGATTTCTCGTTAATTGATATAGGAACAAGAACCCTTACAGAGCTTAGTTTGACATCAAAATTCGAAATTTTATTAGTAGTAAATTTGTGGTTAAATTTTATTAGCTGTTATTTGGTTATATGTTTACCGTAGTGGAAATCTGCAAGTTCTTAGATAATTTGGCAATGGCCCTTGATATATACCGGGTGTTCAAATTAAAGTGTTACAGTTAAATACCGCCGAAAATATGCATTTTATAAAAAAAAATTCAGACAAAAGTTTTATAGTTTTTTGGGGGAAACATTTTGGCTAAATTCATTTTTTTATAGCTGGCCATAATATAATATAGCCATATCGAGGAAAACTTTTTTTTTCAAATTGTTACCTGATTTTTTTACATATTCTTAAAGTTCATAAAAAAATAAGTAACTTTCAAAGAAAACATTTTTTTATTTGACTTTTACTTATTAAATAACGCCTACTTGAAAATTTTGCCGCGCGAAAAAAAGTTGGCCATATTATGGTTAGCTATAAAAAACGAGTTTAGCCAGAATGTTTTTCCCAAGAAACTATAAAACTTTCGTCTGAAACGTTTTTTTATACAAGGCGGTATTTAACTTTAACACTTTAATTTGAACACCCGGTATAATGTAACAGACACATAACTATGAAATTTAAAATATTCCAGTTTAATTTTGGAATAGGCCTTAATTTGATGAATTTCTTTAGTTTGTTTTTTATCTTAATAGGTGTTATCCTTTTTACTGCCGTACGTACGTGCATAGATACAGATTATTTTTAAGAACATAAACAGAATTGCTTCAATTTGTAAAAACCACTTATATTCGATTGTGCTTCTAATAAAATTATTTTACAAGAAACAATTTTCTATGGAGTTATTTTTGTCAAAAATTTAAACGTTTAACAACAGTGGCGGCTTGTTACCAAAATACTGGGGGTCCACAATGACAGAATATAGATCTCAGTACAGGTTTAGGTAAAAACTTTCAATGTTTATAATATATATTTCTAATGTAATACGTTTTTTTGCCTAAATCTGTACTGAGATCTATATTCATTGTGAACCCCCAATATTTTGGTTACGAGCCATTACTGTTTAAGAGATAAAACAAATCAAATCAAAAATGATTGTGTTTCAACAATTTTGAGCTATATGATTAAAAAACTTTTATTTCTTCGAAGTTAAAAAATGTTTTATTTTTAGTTTTTTTTTTTGTCATTTTAAATATGTTTTTCTTTTGTTACAGTGGTCATGCACAAAGATAAAGACGATGTTCTTCATCGACCACGTGATCTCACGGCCTTCGATCATACTCCATTGGATGGGGAAATGTTTCTTCAGGTAAGATTTTTTATAAAATTGTAATTGTTTTCCTAAAAAAATTAAGTAAATAAAACCATATTAGCACACTACAAATTAATTTTAAAACCAAACTCAAAATGATCTTTAATTAATTTATAATTGATTAATACCAAAATTTCATAAAATACATCAAAATTATAGCGAATAATGAAAGCTTTTCTGTGTATGTTTTCTTGTTTTATAAGTGACCTGTTTAATAGTTATTTGCATACAATATTTTTTCTACGTTCATGCAAAAACCAAAAAATGTTTTATATAGGCGACACTAAGTGCAGAAGAATGAAAAGCGTAATTTAATAACAAAATATTTAATAACTAATAATTAGCATCGATTAACATTGAAAAAGTACTATAAGTATGTTAAGAAATATAATTTAATCAAAACTTTAGGAGCCACTGTGTTATGTACAATAATTAAGCTTAAACGTTGTTTTTGCCACTAATATTAAAAGTAAAGCACAATTTGTACAATTTTCAATATTAATATTTTTTAGCGAATTATTTTTTAATTGTACTTCTTCATTTGTTATTTGTCTAAATAGTGTACTTGTACTAGTACTTGGTATCTGTATAGTGTCAATTTCTTCAGGCTGAGATATTTGTTTTGAAATATTGATTTTGTTGGCTGGTGATTGACCTACATATCTCTCCGCCACTGTCGACGATTTCTATCCGCTGTGTCGTTTGAGCTCTAGTATATCTGCTCCAGTATCTGCAAGAAGTGTGGCGTAGGATCTCCTGAAGCAGTGCCCTGTGTATAGCTCAGGATTATCCAAATGCGAAAGTTTGCAATTTCATATGGGATTTTAGCAAACGTGTTTACACCAAGCACTTTTCATTTCGGTAATTGATAAAAAACCGTTTATGCGGAATGTGATTGGGACGTAATTTCGTGTATTTATGATATATATCGTCCAAATTTAATCCTTCTTCCACCTCACCTCTAATTACAAAACTTCGTTCTTTATCAGTTTTTGATCGTGGCACTTTTACTATTAATATTGAGCCTACTTCTTCTATGTCGTCCACGCTCAATTTTTGGAGCTCATCTGTACGACATGCCCCTGCGATGCCAAATATTGCAGGGACCTACAACACATTGTTTAAAAATATTTTACAAAAGCTACATAATTACCGACTTACTTTTTTCATCAAATATTGGTAGTCCGGAGCTTCTTTTAGAAATTTGTAAATGTGTTCCCTGTTAATAATCCAGTAAATGAAGGACTGAAAAGATCGAAAGCTGTAAAAAAATCTCTGATGAGTTCCCACGTAGCTCAATTTGTACCGGAAGGGGCTGAAAATTGACCCCTAAACTCTGAAAAACGGGTTTCCCGCTAATATCTGGCTAAATATGCCAATTAAAGAATTTTTGTAAAGACAAAAATGAAGATCAGCTCATTCTCTACAAAAATGATCCCTACCAATTTTTTCGCAATGACAATATTTTTTGGCAAATCAGACTTCGAAAAATCCATAATTTTCATATTGAATAGATATGGTAGTTTCTTGCCGAAGTTCCGCTCGATGGGATTGGAAATACATTGATCTTCATCTTTTGGACTTTAGAGACCAATTGCAGATGGCGCCAGCACCTTTGCTCTTCTCGCTAAATTACGGAGTCCGTAAATGAAAATCTCGGAAATAATCGATTATTCGACAATTACTGGCGGATTTTACCTGATTTTTTTCTGCAAAGTAGCGCTTGGGCTCTCTTAATTGTATTAGCGAATGTTCTGTGCAATTTGAGTTGCAAATTTTCCAGAAAATTGCAAAAATTTATTTTTCCTTGTGCCAAGGTCTTGAATCCCGTTGTTTTGGCTAAAAGCAAATGACAACTTTTGGAGCATGGTGAATATTCACCATACAACCATTCTAAACATTTTTCGCATTTTGCGATTTTTTTGCAAACTTTTTTGGGAATAATATGGGTGCAGGACTTCGGAAAAAAATATGCAAGTCTTTGAAAAATTACATTTATTTGGAAGAATTGGTTGGATATAAAACATACATAACAACCTTTAGGGTGTGGTTAACCACTCCAAGTCATCAGAATCATATATATATTCTTCATCGTCAAAGGTATTCTCGTCGCTTACTCCCTCTTGCTCCATTTCTACCCTTCCCCCTATCGTCCTTTCTCTCTCTTTCTCCAGCTGTATTTCTGCCTCCTCGCTTTGTAACCCTTCTGTCTCTTCTTCCACCTCTATTTCTACTTCCACCTCTAATTCTTCTGGGAATATACCTTCATTTCTTTTATAATTTGAACAACTGACACGAACCACAGATGGACGAGCATTTCAGACCTGCTTTCAAACATGAACAATTCTTCTCGCAGCCTCTCTTACACTGACAAAAAATCATCTTCAAGAGTTCCGGTGGGGCCGGATCCTGTGTGGTCTGGACCGGTAATAGCATTTCCGCTGCACGTTTCCAGCCCCATTCCTCTGGTGACAGTTCATTCCCCAGCCATTTCTTTACTTGTAAATATACCCTATAAAAGTGCTGCCTAGCAGCTTCAGCGGTAGGGGGCAAGCATTCTAGTTCTATTGCAGTTTTGTTTGTGGACAAGTGGTTGAAAGTCCAGGACCGGGCGGCCTGGAGAGTCTTTATTTCCGCTGGCAATTTGTAAATCGACAGCAAAACAGTTTCTCCGTTCGCGAATATAGTCTCCTTGCTCACTCGAATCAAATTTTCTAAACCACGAGTAACATTTACACCGTCATCCATAATACCCTCCTTACAAAGAAAGCATTCTGGAACGGAATCCGCTTCCATTTCAACAACACCAAGAGCTACCAAAAAATAGATGATCCAACCGTTAGAACAATTACACCAAGTTTTTAAAGTTAAGGCAAAATAAAACAAACCTTATTTTCTGCTTCCAACAAAAAAATCCTTGAATATTCTTTCTTGTAGACAAGAATAACGTGGAAATTTCTCACTTTAAACACTTCTTCTTTTTTTATAACTGAATTAATTTAATGAAAAATATTTATTTTTATTTTAAATAAATAATTCAAAATAAATAATGAAAAAATATCATCAGTACATCAATAATCCGGTCAAGCCGACGACTCCAAAACAGAGATTGTATACAAACACATGCAGACAACTATCGCCGCGTGGGTACACGAGGTTAGGTTATATACAATATCATGGATCTCAGAGGGGGAGCGTAAAAATGAAGTATATAATTGTAACAACCTTTTTAGAACCAAGAACGGATATGGGGATTAACTTATATCAATGGAAAGGTCAGAATACAAACTTTACTTTGATCTAGTTATTAATCCTCAAAAATTAAGAGCGGGGAACAAGAAATGGTTAAACAAAAAAGGCCGATTTTCACTCGTGTGATCAATTTTCCTCATTTCTTGACAATTATTAGACTCTATTAAAAATAAAAAAATATATTCGAAAAGTAGACCATCTAAGCTTTAAAATGATGTGCATTGGAAATCAATATAACGAATCATAAGAATATAATTCGCGCTTGTTCCGAAGATTCTATGGAACTCCGAAATCGGCTAAAACATGTAAATAAACAAATCCATTTTGTATTAAAATGCAAGAAAAGTATTACAAAAAAAATTTTGAAATCATTCAAGACCCCCCAAGGTCCCATTATAAAGGCAAAATTAGAATAAATGACTATTTTTAAAGAAAATATGAATAAATTAATGAAGCAGTCTCTAAATATTGTTGAAAAAAACTTTGACCGCTTTTTTAAATATTTTTGGCAAATACGAACTGACTTCAAGTAACATGGAATTGTAGCTACGGGTTTTCCCATTGCGATGAACTTTGAATCATCGAAAAATATCAATTTTTCCCGAGATATGGAACAATTCGTCCGCCCGCTTACACGTTAATTCATAGAAAGCGGAATTCCTGCAGGTAGAGCAGCAGCTGAAATGAGGGGACTTTTGAGTGCCATTATCTCGAAAACTATTGAATTTTCGAAGAAAATGATAAGAACCATTTTTGTAGATAATGAGCTGATCTTCATTTTTTGTCTGAACAAAAATTCTCCAATTGGCATATTCAGTCAGATATTAGCGGGAAACCCATTTTCCAGGTTTTAGGGGTCCATTTTCAGCCCCTTCAAGTCCAAGAAAGCGTTAAGGATTTTCTCGTTTAAAAACGCATGCGATAACTTACAAATCGCGCTATGTGGGAATTCATCAGCGAGTTTTCTACAGGTTTGACCCTTCAGTTACTGGACTATAAATACTTTTGACTTTTTTGCCCGAAATCCTACAGAATTCTGCTTCATGAATGCCATTAGTTTCTTATAATTTTTAATATTAATATTTTTCTTTGAAGAAAGGCAAGCTCTCGCCATTGAGTACTCAGACCAAAGTGATGAGGGTTTAATATCATGCGATCTTTTGGAAAAATACGCAAGAAGAACATTTTCTGTAAAATTTACAACTTTTTTGTCGAAGCACCATTCTTTGAAACGATTGTAAGTTATTTCATACTGTTTTCTTGATTTAGTAGGTAATAAGTTTAATGACGCTGTATTTGCTATTTCACTGACTTCTGGTGGGGTCCCAACGAATTCTTCTTCATCCCTGTCATTTTTTTTTTCAATTATATTACTCATTTTATAAACTTTAAAATGCGTACTTAATTCTCAGAATTAATTTTTGACTAACGTTTCTAGAACTGCAGTTGTATTATCCAAATCATATAGTAGCGTGATAGTAGGCGTGATCGTGTACCTTTATTTGAGGCATTTATTTACGTTTGTGTTCATAATTTGTAATGACATTTTTAATAAAATACATTTTTTAATAATTTATTTATTAAATGATTGAAAATAATATAAAATATGCAATTGTTTTTAAAACGTAATACAATCTCACAGAAAATGAAAATGGACTAAATATTTGGCGTCGATTTAAATATTTATGTTTGTCATGATCATAAAACGCTGTAGTAAAATGACAGATGAGTGCAAATTTTTATTGCACTAGTGCAATAAATAACCAGTTTTTTTCACTAAATATAGTTCAATAAAGTTTTGTTTTTTGCATGAACGTAGAAAAAAAAATTTATAAAATGAATTTTTACTTTCGTTTTACTTTTACTATATACATATAAAAACAATATTATTTTTAGGCCCTAAATGGTTTCCTTATTATTTTAACTTGTGATGGAGAGGTTTTTTTCGCAACGCATAGCATAGAAGGTTATTTAGGATTTCACCAGGTAAGATTTAATTTATATATACTTAGAATCTACAGTTTGAAAGATTTCCAAAAAAACCTAGCACTGGATGTCAAACTATATTATTATTTGTTTGCACCATTCCCAAAAATTGTTGCAGTAGCTAGTTATTAAACCAGTTACAAAATGCCTTATTTTATGTAACGAGTAAATAATTGCGGGTCAAGCAGAGCGAGGTTCCGCAACATAAACGAGTTATATAAAACGGCATTCGTAACGTGTTACATACAATATTTTTTCTACTTTGCCTAGATTATTTATAAAATTGTGTTTTGATAAAACATTACTGACACATAGGCATCTAATATTACTTTCTTACATTGTTAGTTGCATATTCATAATTTCATTTTTCTTATTGACAAATAGAAAATTTAACGACTTGTTAAAGTTATTTAGTTTTCAAGAAAGTTGGCTATTTTCTCGTGTATTGGGTTATAATTATTTTTTGCTGATTTTGAATCGAAAATAAAGACCAAAACAAAAATATTACTCGGTTTTAAGTTTTAACCAAATTCTATTTTTATAAGTCAATCTGCCCTTCTTTGATATAAACTTTCAATAACAATTTATAATAATATATTGATTTTAAAACCAAAAAAGGTTTATTTTTATTTGTTTTCTTTTCGCAACTGGTGACATAATGAATTTTTCGTAAGCAGTTTTATAATATTTAGCATTATGCAACTGGTTGCGTAAAGTAGATAATTTTGTCACTTGCTGCGATTACAAAAAAATGTCACTTTATATGTCAAATCTAGAAAAATAGTATTTGTTATGAACCATAGCTTTTGTAATACCGTATTTTTTTAATATTGCAGATAAAAGGATTAAAAAAATTAATATATTTGTTTTTTTTTAGTCGGACATAGTCCACCAATCAGTTTACGAATTGGTCCACTCTGAAGACAGGGAGGAGCTGCAAAGGCAGTTGATGTGGAATTCGTTTCTTCCGCCTGAGTCAGCCAACATGGGTCTTCAGGACGTTCTTTTGCCAGAGAATTGCCACTTGTTAGAAAGAAGTTTTACTGTGCGCTTCCGATGTCTCTTAGACAATACTTCCGGTTTTTTGGTAAGCACAAAATGACGCCCATAAATGTTATAAGAATTCTTTACTTTTCCCGTTTCTAACTTTAATGTGGGGTAGTTATTAGTTCTAGTAGTATTATTTTCAAACAGCTTATTTGAATTCTTTCACGTAGATCGAGATACCGCAATCCCCAAAGATCGTTTCAATTTTTGTCTTCGATATTATTGCACCTATAGCTCGTCTAGGTTTTTCAGTAGTCACATTTCTGAGAAGGTGCACGAGTTCTTCTAAGCATGTCTCTCAAATATGTATTTGTCTTAGGTACCTCAGTACCAAGTAATTTATTTGTTTTTACCTGTTTTTATCAGTTTTTACTTGTTTTTATCTGTTTTTATCTGTTTTTATCTGTTTTTACTTGTTTTTACCTGTTTTTATCTGTTTTTACTTATTTTTACTTGTTTTTGGGGATAACACATGGAAAATTTGATTTTCCTTATCAGAAAAATTTTCCAACCCCAAAATGCATTTATACATTCAGGTCATTCAAAAAAATATATTTTTCAGACTAGTGACGATATACGTCTTCATACATTCGATGGGCTTATGTGGAAAAATCTAGTATAATCTCGATTTTTTTAGAAGACTACGCCCTTATTTCAACTTTTTAGCCACTTGCAACATTAAAGCCTTTGGTTTTCCGAAGCCTAGTTCTACTAATTAATCATATAGTGAAAACGGCTTGCGTGGAAATATGGGCAACAAATAACCTTTCATTTTTGTTAGGGAAAATCGAATTTTCCATGTGTTATCCGCAGGAGTCATTTGTAAATTTACTTTCATTCTATTTTTTTTTTCTCTCCTGGGCTCGTCTGACTATGTGTCTCCGAATAACACTGAAGCCTATTGGCTTATTGTGTTTTACCCCATGTTAGTTCATAGCACCCACTATATCACCTTTGTACCTTGTACAAGTTTGTACAGATCCTTGGGTGAGTGGGTTCTATACGTTGTTGGATCAACCTGGGGTTGTCCAAAAAGAGCCTGTCTTTTGCGATCTAGAGCTTCGCATTCGCACAGTATGTGTTTGGCCGTTTCTGGTTTCTTGTGACATAGTCGGCACATGAGTTCCCCATTGTACATGCCAATTTTGTTCAAGTGTCCCTTTACTGGGGCGTGCCCAGTCATGAACCCTGTTATCACTTTCAACTGGTTCCTATTCATTAAGAGTAGTTCTCCAGTTCTTTTGGGACATGGTCTGCCTATGAAGGCTTTTCCATGTGCCTGTTTTGGAGTGCTTCCCCAATAGTTGATATGTTGTTCTCGAATCCAGTCATTTATAAAACCCCGGACTGTACTTTTTGGTACTCCTGGGTTTGTGTCTGGTTCCGGTGTTTCTTCTGACCCTCTTTTTGCAAGTTCGTCAGCCTTTTCGTTGCCTTCGATCCCTTTGTGACCTGGCACCCAAAATAGTTTTACTCTATTTCGGTCTGCCAGTGTTCTTAGTTCTTCGATGCATTCCCATACCAGCCTCGACGTAACTTTCTGACTCGATATGGCCTTAAGTGCCGCTTGGCTGTCTGACATTATTTGAATATGCTGATTTTCGACAGCTCTTTCATTGTTCGTTTTTGCACATTGCAAAATTGCATATACCTCGGCCTGAAATACCGAGGAATGTATTCCTATAGCATAGCTATGGTTAGTATCAGGGTTTTTGGAGAATACTCCTACCCCAGTGCCTTCCGCAGTCTTAGACCCGTCTGTATACCAGGTTTGTTCCTGTCGTTGGGCATTGGGCTCCCTTATGGTGATCTCCGCTCTTTCCTGTATTAAAACCTCAAAGGGAGTATTAAAAGAGTACCTCTTGGTTAAGTGGTCTGATCTCATGTCTAGCACGTCTCCTGTCACTAACCTTGAGATACTCATGTGACCTGGCCTAATGTCAAGATTTCCCAGTATATTCCCTAATTTGTAAGCACCTAATCTTGCCTCCCTTGTATCACATAGTGAAGAGGTGGGAGTCCTATTAGTGCTTCCATTGCAGCAGTGGGGGTTCTTTTCATTGCCCCCGTTATTCCGAGGCAGGCAAGTCTTTGTACCTTGCTAAGCCTCGTTATTGCTTTCCTTTGCTGTGTCTTTGGCCACCACACCAAAGCTGCGTATGTTATTATGGGTCTCACCACCATGTTATAAATCCAATATACCATGTCTGGTTTTAGCCCCCCTTTTTTTTCAAAGGATCGCCTTGCCATCATTAATGAGGTTTCCGTTCTCCTTGTGGTTCTTTCTAGATGCTGGTTCCAGGTAAGTCTCGTGTCAATCATAACCCCGAGATATTTTACCTCCGCCTTAAGCTGGATGCTTGCACCTATTAGGTTTAGAGGCCATTCTATTTAAAATCGATGTACTTTTCAACCCTTTCGAGGCTTGTATGCGAAACCTGTCACTATCTGACGGTCTATATATAGTTATCTAAACCTCCTTGTTTAGACGACCATTAACATTTTCTTTTGTTCTATATCATTTTTGTTCATGCAGCGATTAGACATCCGAGGCAGAGTGAAGGTACTGCATGGTCAAAATAGAAAATCCGAAGAACCACCCTTAGGTCTATTCGCAATCTGCACCCCCTTTGGTCCGCCATCTTTACTGGAGATTCCTCAAAAAGAAGTCATGTTCAAGAGCAAGCACAAATTGGATTTGGCGCTAGTCTCCATGGATCAAAGGTAAGAAATTTAACAAATAGTGTAATAAATGTGTGAAAAATCACTTCTACACAAGATATACAATATTTTTTCTACGACCACAAAATTATTTTACCAAAAAAATCCAAAACCAAAAAATTTGGATATGCAGTTTTTATCAAGATGTGACTGGTTCTACGTCTGGTTTTTATAAGAATGCCTTATTAGGTTTAAATAATTTTTCCATTTACAAACACTTTCATAGGACGATAAAGGTAAAATAATATTAGGTACAAAAATATTAGAATACAATAATGATTTTTTATTAGGTTTTTTGTTTAAAATACAACAAATATTGAGATGAACAACTGTATAACTATACAATTTTTTATGAACCGATATTAAAATAGTACAAAATAAATAGCGGAAAGATTAGCGCATTGACTAACTGTAGGGGTTATATTATAATAAATAAATAAAATGTATTTAAAATAAATAAACAGCAATAGTCGTTGTAAATAAATATCTAAGATCTTGGTATAAAATCAATGTTAACAATTTAATCATCAAATCTATTTTAGTAATAATAGGTATAGATATTACATAAATCAAGATAGAAATTATGCATCTGACATATTTGACAGCTGATGCGGAAAGTAGATTCTTATTCACACACCTGTGATAACGGGCACATTCCATAAGTCCAAATAGTACGACGTGTCACTTTCCTAAGTGGTCGAAGGAAAATTTAAATATTTTATTTTAGCAACAAGCTCTCCCTACTTCTTAATTCGCCATAGTATTCTTGTATACCGTTACATTTTGCATATATTTTTAATAGATTTATAAAATACTTCTTTATTTTTCAGAGGCAAAATGTTATTGGGATACTCGGATTCAGAATTGGCCAATATGGGTGGCTACGATCTAGTTCACTACGACGATTTAGCCTATGTAGCCAGTGCTCACCAAGAATGTAAGTATCATAGATATTTATTCTTCCAACCCGTTGATAAAGCAACCTGTCCCAACCATAGCCATAACTTCAAAGACAAACATCATTAAGTACAACTATTTTGAGGTTATGGCTATGGTTGAGAAAATGCTAATAGACATTCCTAGGTCTAAAAATATCAAAATATTCATAAAAAATACTTACAATTCCTCAAAACTTCTCAAACCAACTTCTCAAACCACATGCAGCACTTAGTGTAGCCGGACGGCGCGGGTTGGTGATATCATTTATTTGAGTTTTTAGCGAGACAGGTCCGTACGCAAAAACTGAAATAACTGTTTAAGTATTTTTTGGAAAAAGTATATGACGAAACGTGATTCTTGGATTAAGTTTTATATGTTGTTAAAAGTAATTACAATACCTCGAAATCAGTAGTGAGTAAAACACTTGAGTACAAATTTTATATTTTTCCCCAGATCTGGGGAAATTTATTGATATGGCAACGTCGCAATACATGGAGTTGATGGTAGGTACTTTTACATTTCCCCAGACATCAAACAATTTTGTAGCCAGAAAAACCACAGAAAACAGCAACGTCGCATTGTGCCACGACGGTTGGATCGAGACATCCCTTAGTCAGATAAGAGTAACATTAAGGTGGCGGCTGGACATATGTCAACGGGGTGGAGGAGGAGAGGGAGAGAAAGAGAGCATAAGGACCATAGCTAATTCGCGCCACCTGTCACACCAAGGTACACAAGCATTTTCCTAAGGACGAGGTAGACGAATACTTTAAAGTATTGCAGAATAATTTAACAAAACCTTCCATGACAAGAGACGATAACGTTACAAAGTCATAGGTGTGCGTTTAGTCTAAGCTATTGCAGAATAATTAAATGTGTTAAAAAGAGATATTCGGGGGGTACTGAATGAATAAAGGCCTTGTTACCAAACCAAATTGCCAAAGCTAGAAAAACATTTTAGTCACATAATTATATCCATTGATGTATCCAAATAAAAATTACTTAACTTAGCACAATACACCTTCATGATTTTGAACACTGAATTTTATTCACTTGTTGAGATGATGATCAGAACAATATAATTGCAAGTACCCAACTATTGTACCGATATAACATAACAGTTCAAAAACCTCATCCTTAGGAAAATGCTTGTGTACAGGTGGCGCCAATTAGCTATGATCCTTATGCTCTCTTCCGCCCCCTCTCCTCCCATTGACATATATCCAGCCGCCATCTTGATGTTGCTCTTATCTGTCTAAGAGATCTCTCGATCCAATCGTCGTGGCACAATGCGACGTTGCCGTTTTCTGTGGATTTTCTGGCAACAAAATCGCTCGATGTCTGTACTTACCATCTACTTCATGTATTGCGACGTTGCTATATCTACAAATTTCCCCAGATCTGGAGAAAAATAGAAAATGTGTGCTCAAGTGTCTTACTCACTACTGAAATCACCCTGTATAACGTTAGCATACTACATTACTGTTTTTTCGGAGTGGCTGATAAAAAATAATTCCCATACATTATTTGTATAATGTTTTAAGTCAATTATCACTCACAAAATATGTATATGTTTTTGCATCGTTTTTGTTTTAGTAATAAAAACTGGAGCCTCGGGTATGATAGCTTATAGATTCCAAACCAAAGATGGACAGTGGCAATGGTTGCAGACCAGTTCAAGATTAGTGTACAAAAATTCCAAACCTGATTTCGTCATAAGCACACATCGACCTTTAATGTAAGTACCTAGTTAAGCTTTCTATAATTAAACAACTAAGTTTTTTAGTTCCTTTATTTCTAAGATGAATTTGGATTTCTTTTTAACACGTTCAACATAAAGCTTACCTCAAAAACATCATCTTTTCAGTGTGAAAAGTAACTTTTTCATAAATCAACAATTTTCTGTAATTGACAACTGACACAAATGCCTCTTTCTGATTAAGTAACTAAAACTAATCTTAACTACAACTTAAGTTAGACATAAAAGGATTGATAAGCAAATCTAACAAAGCTACCTAATATAATATCTCCTCTTCTGAACATTGCGATTTTTTGTTACAGGGAAGAAGAAGGTCGCGACCTTTTGGGCAAACGTACAATGGATTTTAAAGTGAGCTACCTAGACGCAGGTCTTCCAAACAACTATTTTTCCGAAAGCGATCAACTTTTGTCCAATTCCACCAACGTCGCTCAACATCCGATAGCTACGACTCCGTCCAGGGTGAACAGAAGGTACAAAACTCAACTCAGAGACTTCCTCTCCACGTGTCGGACGAAACGCAAGCTCTCCCATAGTTCAAGCGGGCAAGGCACTCCTCCTGGAAACTCTACTGTAACGGCATCTGTGGTCAGCCCGATGCCATCTGTGGATTATATAACCTCAGACGGATGTACTGCGGCTTATAATATGTACGCTAGTCCTTACTCTTCAGCAGGTGCTGAACATGGGCTCTCTTACATGAGTCATTCGAATTTTCAACACAGTTTATACCCAGCTCCTGCCGCTTTAGATAACCGCTACCTCACTACCACTGAGAATTTGTTCCATCAATACAGACCGCTTAGTACCTACTATCCAGAGTATCACCATTCGCCTACAGCTAGTCCATACGTAGGCAACGGCTTTCTGGATATGTCTTCGAGAACGGCAGTACCTGCGTACGACCCTTCTGCCACCACTTCTAGTCACCACACTACTTATCGAGCAGCGGTAATGCCAGTAGACGAAAAAATCTACTCTTGCCAGCAAGTTGGTCAACCTACTTACGTGGACAGTTCGAGGAGTTACGTAGTACCAAATTCGACGAAGTGCTTGGACGTATCCTGGCCGTACTCGGTGAGTCCTTCATCGGGAATCATCCAACCGATTCAAGTCATGAGCACACAATTAGATATTAACCACAAAGGATGTAACAAGTTAAAACATCCATCGATAGACGGTATGACCAACCATTCTTCCTCCCCTACCGGCTTGATTACTCCGAAAATGGAAGACATCAAATCGGATTCGAATGTATTGCATCAATCTGACAGTCCGACGCATCACAGCATTAACTCAGTAACGCCTCAGCATTTTTCTCCGGTGACATCAGTATCAGAGATTCCGAGACAGACGGTACTGATGTGGGGTTCTAACCATATTCAAAGCTCTCCAAATTCGAATCATCGATCTCCGGGTGATAATACAGAGTACTCGATCTCTTCAGTGCCTACTTCGGAGGGATGCGACCATCTGAAGAGCCTGGCGGATATCAGCAACCCCGAGATGTGCAAATGGAACGGGGATGATAGTAAAGCAGAGACAGTAGTACAAAGTAGTGATTCGGACAGTACGCATCATCACACCAACCATCACAATCATCACAATTCTAGGGTGGTTATGGTGCTATGATGAATGTGTTTTGCTGGTTTTTTGCCAGTACAGTTGTATATAAGTAAATATATTTTTTATTAACGTGCACATAATTTAAAATGTCAACTATATTGCGGGAATCACAAATGTAATTTCGGTTGATCAAAATTTAGGTTATACAGTGCTGCAGTAAAAGTTCGCATCATGTGAGTTTTTTTTTTATTTTTCGCAATTTTAGAGTTTGTGAACAGATTTTCATTAAAAGAAAAATATTAATACATACATGCATTATATGGATGTTTATGTTGCAAACTGTTTAAAATATAGTAAAAAAATTAAAAATTACAAACTACAACAAAGATTATTATAATAATAAAACAACACTGATAATAAATATAAATAATAAAAATGTGCAAGTTACAGAAACCGTTAAAAAAGATCAGTCGGCAAAGAAAAAGTAAATGTTATTATTTTTAATACGTTTACAAAATTATTTTGTTAAACTGTAAAGTCCTAAAGGCAGCATATCAAAAGAGTAAGTAATTGATGTTTATCGTTATCTGAAACCTAAAGCTATTTTAGATTAATGGATAAAATACGTTATGCTTATAGGATCTAATTGCATTTTTTTAACTACATTATATTTAACTCCCTTTGGCTTTTTTATTCCCATATTTCCCATATTTTTTAAATTAACGTCCATTCTTTCTCTACTTATATTTTTCTCTCTAGGTTGTTTCTCTCTCTCTTAACCATATACAGTTTAGATCTTAACCTAATATAATGTATATTTTCTCCATTGACTGTGTCCTTAAATAAAACATGCTATTCCAATATACAGGGGTAAAAAAATACGTTAATAATTCTTTCTGTCGATATGCCATACCTGTCATATTTAACATATTTTAAAAAATTACAATAAGTTAGGTTAGGTATTTCTCAACATTTTAACTGGTCTATTGATTGACATAAATTTGAAAATTCAGATTTTATAGTACTTGTTAACTTAAATGGCATTTGCATTAAATATAACACCTTTTCAACATATATGTTTTTTTTTTTTTTAATATACAATTAGAAAGGTTTCTATACAAAAAAAAAAACACTTCAGCTGGTCTTTTCGGATTTTATAAATTTGAATGAGCCAAAAATTTGTTAAGAAAACTGTAAAAGAATCAAAGTAATTCAAATTCGTTTAAATTTGGTAGTTGGTTATAAAACCGAAAAGGAAACAAATTTTACGTATTATGTTTCGAAATTTTGAAAACAAAGTAACTTGCTGTTTTTTAACACGTCAAATTTGACAGGAATAGGCGATCGGTAGAAAAAAGTCGTCAAGGCCATTTTTTATTATCTTCGAAGGAAAAACTATTCACAAACTCTAATTTTACGTAAATTAAATAATAAAAAATAATTCTCATATATTTATGATGCTGCCTTTCATGGTGACATTGTATATATCTAAGAAATCGTTTTTTAATCACATTTTTCTAATGTTGCACACAGAGACGCCGAGGATATTAATGTTCTAACTGGTTTACTCATTCTGAATTGCAATATATACCATCTAAATTTATTATTTTTTACTTTGATTTACTCTTGTTTGGCTAAAATCAGTTATGCAGAAACTGTTGTTATTGCAACAATTAAGCCTTCCAAACAAAATGGTTGCCCGTGGATAAATACATGTTATATATGGCAACCCTGTGGGCCTGGTGAAGTAACAGGGTCAATGATATAGATAGTTATATGGATTGATCATCCATGTTTTTCAAAATAAACATAAGTTTATGCCTTGAAGTAAAAATGTAGGTAATTATTTTTTTTTATATTTAAAGGCTAAAAATTGGTTTTAAAACACATTTTTGCTAAACCGATTTTGATTAATGAGCTTTTGTGAGGCGATATTACTCCTCGCTAACGACCCGTTTTGAGCAATCTATCATTGAGACTGTCAAAGTCAACGCACCAACAGGGTTGTATATCATAACCTGTCATTACCCAAGACTACAGTAAAATCACATACTTTGATTACTATACGAGGCAAGAGAGAGGTCCGACACGCCCAACATAGGGCGCGGCCATTTTGAACCCTGTGACACAGTTTACAGCTAAAGAATCAGATCGCTCACTCTGCGTCGGCACTTTGGATCTCAATGTTTCAGTTTATACACTGCGCAACTCGGATAATACAATATATGACAACCGCCTATAATAAAACAGTAGTCTTCTGCGTATCCTGAATTTGTATCCCTGGAGTAGATGTTATTTTGGAAATTTCAACTGGTCCGAGTGAGCTAACTAATTCTTTAGCAATAAACTGTGACTTCAAAAATAATATTCACTGACACTGACAGCAGCAAGCAAAATATCAGGTGCGTTTTAATCATCCGCTTCTGCTTTCGGAATTGTCGGTTTAGTCGTTTTAACCTGTCAGATTAAAACAAGAAAACTGACAATTCCGAAGCAGCAGCGGATGATTAAAACGCACCTATTAAAAATATTGCGCCAAGATGTAGGCAACACGTAATAAGGGTTCAAAATGGCGGAGTTTTCTATCTCCTTTTAAAAGGCACTCAGAAAGCTGCGCAGTGCGACCATTCTTCGTATAGTAAAAGAAAATCAAAATATGTGAGTAAAATACACCCGGGAACAGACATTCAAATATTACAGAAATGGTCACGGAACTACTAATTATTCTGACAGTTGATGTCGCATGTCAAAACATAACTTTAATTTTCAAAGTTGACGATTGTAAACGAGTGTTTTTGCCTTATTAATTTGTACCTACCTATATTATTATATTCAGTAAAAAATTTAATTATATACCTTACAATTATGTTCATAACTGTTTAGCTCTTGTATTGCTTTTTATTTAAATGGAAGATGATTTGAAAGTAGAACTGAAACAAATAAGTCAAATCGAACCCAAGCAAATGTTATAAATGGTTTTTATAATAAATTGTTGAACAAAGATATTCAATTTAACAGAAATTAAGAATTGGCATTTGTATTAAAATTATGAAGTTTACTTATATAAATTTTTCCTTTTCTCTCATTATAAATCATATCTAATATGCGTAAAAATAATAATTTACTCTAAGCCAATCATACAGGATTTTGAGAAAAAAATCACAATATACCTACTTACAATGCACACAGGGAACACGTTTTAGTAATTCGTACAATAACATTTAATTACTTTTTAAACAATAATTATGATCATAAAAATCTTTATAAATGTAATGATTTACCACATGCCATGTGCACAGCAGCCTTCTTGGTTTATTTGTTATTTGGTATAATCTTCACCCCAAGCATTTACATATTTTTATATGATCATCCGTTGTCAAATATTTTATTTTTAAGTTACCTAGAATTACATAATTTTGGCCGTAATTATATATTTGAAAAATTATTTTTTTCATACCTAAAAACACTCATTGATATAATCTGCACAGGAATTCTTATGTGTGAACTCGTCTCGTTACATATGAGAATCGCAGTTTTTCGAAAGACGATAGGCTTCTCGACATATGGTGTATTAAAAGATATGAAAATCCCTCTGCTGTTAAGAAAAAGATCACGAAATAAATTACGCTTTTTATCATTTTTTATAAGAATTACTCTTAAATCCATTCATTTCTTGTTTTTACCATGTGCTCCATCCATACAAATAATTTTTTAAAATCGTTTGAGTTTATCCTCCATTGTTAAATTCTTAAAACCTATGGCAAAATCTTTGAGTACATTATGAGTTTCTACTAAGATAAAACCATCATCACTTAAATATTTTCATCACCAATTAATTACATTTACTTCCTACTTAAATCTTTGCAAATTACACATAATTAAGTAATTATTTTCATATGAAGTACTGTAGTGTCACTAAATTAATGGAAAGACCACTAATTTACCATCTTCTAAACCAGGCTTTCGAACTTTCAATGTTTTGATCTTTCCTGCTGTCTTTAGGTAAGAACAAGTGAATATGTAAATAATGGATGCTGGAACCCACGTTTAGAACCTACAACATTGTCAAAAACTTTCAAACAGTTTATCCTTTTTAAAAAAAGTGAAGTTTTTGCCATTAGCTTCCCATTCCTGTACTTTAAGTGCAGCATCTACCATTTCATTTTGATCCTGTTTTTTGGCAATATGTTTTCTATATAAATATGTCACATCCCTGTAAATATATCCGTTGCATTTTCTAAAATTCTATTAGCATTGTTATTGTTACCAAAGGTTGCCCCTGTATACAACTTCTGGATCATAATCATAATATTCTTCTCTAAACTTCAAAGGTCTTTACTTCTTAACTCATTTGCATTATGACCAACGTGTGTTCTCTAGAATCACCTATTGGTGCAACTATAAAATATTTCTTTATATTCTGTCCTTTGTAATGCATAAGTGCTCTCAACCTCTTCTAAATCCTTCCATTCCCCAAACTCATATTTGCTAGAAAAAATTAAGTGAGACACTCCAATACTCACATTTTAATTATAATTTCTTCAAGGCGATTTCCTTCTTTGTTCACATATCACATAATGGATAAATTATGTAACCATTTTCTGTGGAACTTTGAAAAGAAAAATTGTCATAAACTTTTTGCCTGTGTAGATCAAGCAGTTTAATAGCAGTAAAAGCTTTCTTAAAGACTTTTGGTCTTTAGTAATTGATTCATATCGTTTTACCACTAAAATAACTAAATAATTAATAAAATATCTTAATAGTATTTGCGTAAAACCAGAATAAAATTCTGTAAAATAAAAACATAAATGTATTTTATTAAAAGAATTTCAAGTTAATGAAGAGTGTATAAACAAAAATTACCACCAATATCTAAACGTCAACTGTCAAGACAAATATTAGTTCCGTGATACTTTGCAAGTCTGTCCCCGGGTGTATTTTACTAGTCCACATACTTTGCTGCTGTAGTCTCATTACTCACGGTTCGTAGACAACACGGTGGCCTCATGGTTGCTAAGGACGCAGTGACGTCACGGAATGAAAAATATTCTACTTGTCAAAATCTTATATTTTATTGTTATTTAGTGGTGTTTACATCTTTATTTTTGAACTTTGTTCCGGTGTTAAAGTTTATATAATAACGGTAGTTTGATTTTTTGAAAGACGAGCTACGAAACAGCAAGGAAAATCATGTAATGATTTCTATCAAATTTTAAATGAATTACGTTTTATTTGATATATAAAAAT